GGATCAAGACAATTAGTGTCACTAGCCAGTGCAGTACTACCAATAATGCTTATGCTAATATCATAGAGATTGAATCCAATTTTAATGCAATTCAGTTTGTATTCCTGAGGATATACTGTGATATCAGAAGGAAGATCAGCAACAGAAAATGACTCTATCTGTGCAAATCCTACAAATGAAAATTATTACATCAGTAGGTGATTATACCGTATAGCGGGTTTTTTCGAGGATATTAAATTTCGTGAATGACCCATATTCGGAAGTTTGCGGAATTAATTTTTGCGAATTTTCTCTAATCTGCCATCCTGTACCGTATTAAATTGATTTTCAAGGAATTTAATTTCGCAAATCATGAAAAATCTGCGAAATTTGTTATCTTCAAAAAAACCCGCTATACGGTAGTCTCCTCTTACTGAATATATTAGCAAAGATGATGGTAGTGTTAGGATCTGAACAATTAGTGGGTAGGCAACATCTGTACCAGCCATCACCAGGTGCCCCAGGGAAGGTAGTAGCTTGAATTCTGAGACTAGCACCTGACCCAGTAGTACATTGAACATTTTGATTGTTACCACCATCACAAGGAACTACCCCATTAGGACCAATCCATTCTCCATCATCCAGAGTAGCACCAGGTAATGTACACTCTAGAGCATTTGATATGATGCTACCATCAGTAAAATAGGATCCATTAGTACGACAGTTTCCATTATGCCTCAGGTAGATACCTATAAAAACATATACAGTTGTTATTATACATATCCAGTGTCTTACCTGAGGAAGATGGACATTGACCAATAACTTCACTGACACTCAACAAGAAGATAACAGATACAGCGATCACTGGCATCTTCTTTGCAAAATTCGAGTTAATAATAATTATTATTATTATTTTATTAAGCTAAAAATTAAAATTAAATTTCTAAAATTACGTGATTTACGGCAGGAAAATAAATGCATAACAATAACAAAATCTCTAATAAAAAAGTGAGACATTAAAAATATTTGCAATAAAAAAATAAAATATTAATATAATCAGTATAATACTGCTATTGTTTGTTAATTGAGAAGTTTCCATACATGCTGTTCATCTGAAGGTACATGTCAATCACATCATATATGGAAGTATACTGCTCCTGTAAACAGATAATATCATTAATACACTAGTACCCACTCATATATCTAGTATATACCAGTGTAGTCACAGCTCCTGGTTTACTCCTTCTCACAGCTTTAGTCACTTGAAACACATCCACTACACATTCTGCCTTACACTGTTCTAGACCAATACTCACTGAACAATAGACTCCTGAACGACTCACTGTATCACTACACACACACACACACACACACAATAATCAATTACTCATCATTAGTCTATCAGTATAACTCTCTCTCTTACCTACAGTGTACCACTACTGGTCCTCCTCCAATCTTTTGTTGTCTGTGTATAACATCATCAATAACTTGTAGGACAGTACGTGGTTCCCTAACAACTCCATCTTGAGGCCAATCTGTCACTTGTAATTGTATCACATCCCATGAGGAGCTGTCATCTTTGTCTGAACGAATATGAAATTTTCGCTCAGTATATCCATTAAAGTCATGATGTGATGTTGACTCAACAAAATATTCACCAAACTTAATGCTATCAGTTTTACTCCAATATTGGTAGCATGATTCCTGTAAGAAGTTAAAATTATTATTATGATAATTAGCTAAAAACCTGGTTATTCTCTCCAGTCCACAGA